GCCCAGATATCCTGGGTTATGGACTTAAGTATAAAGGATGAGTGGCTCTGAGCCATGGTGTCCTCCACCCCCTGCCCCCAGGATGCCCCTGGGGGTGCCACGGGGAGGCTGCTACTGCTGTTGGAGGCTGTTGCTGCAAGCTGTTGCTGCCAGGGCCTCCAGGACCCTCTGGGAGGCCACCATTGCTGCTGCTGGAGGCTGCTGTAAGCTGCTGCTGCTGCTGCTGCTGCTACTGCTAAGGACTGAGCTTGTGTCATCTGCCAATGGCCTGGGATCTTTCCCAATTACCTAGCGTGGACCTGCATGTGAGGGGTCTGGTGACCCAGCCTGGCATGTGAGGAGTCTGTGCCCCAGTCTGTACAACATGTATGAAGGGCCCATGAGCCCTAACTTCTAGCCCTGACAATACAAATGGAAACTTAGTATAACTAAGATAATGAAATGTTTTGGCTTTAGTTATGAATTACCCCAACCAGACAATTAGTGTAGCTATTGCCTCCACCCAACAACTGGCTTAGTCGTGTAGCTTTACAGACATTTATTTATGGCAAAGGGATAAAGGTTGGTTCAGGCATGGGGACTGCGATTGGCTAAAAGGTTTGAGGGAGTTTCCCAGTGATCTGCACAGGTATGCGCCACCTGCATGCCTCTGCATGTTCAGAAAGTGGAGGCTTTGGTAGGATCCCCAACTATCTGATGTTGGCTCAGGCTCAGTAGAGAAGTCTGTGGCTCAGCCAGCCTAGTCCAGTCTGTGTTGGGCCAAGCTAACTCCATGACCCTGAAAAACACCTTAGGCATACAACTCATGACTTCTGTGCCAGGGGCATTATCTTAAGAAGGCAGGTAGGAAGAAACAGAATGAGAGGTTAGTTATGGAATTTTACTGAAAGTGCTAGCAATTTATACAGGGAATACATTTTAACTATATTTATATTTAACTGTATTTAACTTGCATTTAAAGTAGTTACAGGCCACTTTCACCTAAGGGAGGAAAATGCGTGGGAAACATTTAAAGCGCAGGATAACTGGGATTGGGTCCCTAAGAGGACATTAGAAGGAGAGGGCGAAAGATGATTTCATTCCTATTGTCTCTCCGAACACTTACAGAGCCTAGATTTCCTAAAATATTTTCTCTTCTTTTTCCAGCTCCCTTTTGCCTCAAAATCATAGCCAGTTTTCCTAAACTTGATATTTCACTTTCTTGCTTACCAGTTAGGGGAAACACTGGGAGAGAAGTGGGACTTGCTGTTTGTAGACAAAAAAAAGCTATGTCTTATATTGCTTATGTCAAATTTAGGCATGATCTTCTGTTTCTTCTTTACCCAGGAAAAGGACAGTCATTTTTGTAGCTTTCTGTGTTTTCCCTTAAGAAGGCAGCATTCTGGAAATGTTGTTGTATTTGATGCCCAACAAATGCCAGTTAAGAAACATGACAACAATAACAATAACAAAAAGCAGTTGGTAGGAAGTTTAGGAAGAGAAGACAGCAAACCAGCAACAACAGAATGCATTATGAAGTAATTTGCACTTACACTCCTGGCTATGAAAAAGTCAAATCGTTTTTGCTAGAAACTAAAAAAAAAGAAAATCACATTTTTAAACAGTTGTGTAATGGAAGGAAGCTTCATATTGTGAAACACAAGCCGTCTTTGTTCTTCCTTTTTTTAAAAACGAAAAAACAAACTTGGCGACTTAAATGATCATTCAGTTATACAAGTTAGAAACCTTGGTATTGGGCCGGCCCGTGGCTCACTCGGGAGAGTGCGGTGCTGATAACACCAAGGCCACGGGTGGCTGCTATCCCTTTCATATATATTCTCATTTACTCCTTAAACCAGACAGGGATGATTACCTTCATTATTACATTTGAGGAATTTGTCTACAAAGGCTTACTCAATCAAGGTCCTGCAGACAAAACTGTAGAGCCCATTCATTCTAAGGTCAAGTTTTTTCTATTCCATTTTGCTGCCTCATATGGAAAAGTATTGAAAAGTAAAATAGAGGCTGGCTGGCTAGCTCAACTGGGAGAGCATGGTGCTGATAACACTGAGGTTAAGTGTTCA